TGATGATACTAATGAATAATACCCCAAACCCGCAAGAATAGAACCAGACATACTCACAACAGTTGCTCAATTGCTCACTGATTTTGGAACTATTATGAGTATTATCCACCTAATTTGTGTTTTGCTGCATGTATTTATTATTATTTTGCTAGGTGGGAGCTTTGCTCTATACTCTCTGCTCTGTAGACATGCAAAGCTTAATCTACTTCCCAATCAACAAGCTGCTGATGAGGAGCTATCTACTTACAAATATGGATCCACTAGGCTTTCTGCCTTATCTTTACCATTGAAGCGGTTTATAGAGAGGCATAAAAAGGCACGGACGGTTTTATTCCTTGTTGTATTGCTAGGGGCTAGCATGGTCATTGGTGACGGTGTGCTCACTCCTGCAATATCAGGTAGCCATATTTCTTGTGCAACTATCAAATCTATTTATGAATTTCAAATTTCTATAGACGGTGAGTGATATTGGGCATTTTTAATCTATTTATAATGTGTTTACCTGTTTTAGTGTCATAATGAGATCAAGGTTTCCCTAAAACATCATTTACAGAACCAAATAGTTGAGGACTTGATGCTAGCATGGATGCCTAACTAACTGGATGCATGAAAGTGATCATTTGTTTAATTTTCCACTTGACCTCAAGTAAACTCATTGCAGTGTACATTTTTTATGGCAGTTTTATCATCAGTTTGTGGGATTCAAGATGCTGCTGAAAGCTTGCCTAATGGTAGGTTGAAGTTACTTTTTTGCTAGATGACTCTAAGTTGTCAGCAGTTAAATACGTTGCAATACATTTCATATACTCAGCTAATTACTGAAAGTATTTGTTGTTGATAGGTGCTGTCCTACTCATTACTTGCATTATATTGGTTGGTCTATTTGCTCTTCAGCATGTTGGTACCCACAGAGTAGCTTTCTTGTTTGCACCAATAGTAACAATCTGGTTGATTTCAATTTTTTCCCTTGGGTTGTACAATACAATAGTCTGGAATCCAAAAATTGTCTCTGCTCTTTCTCCGTATTATATCATCAAGTTTTTTCGGCATACCGGAAAAGATGGATGGATTTCTCTTGGAGGAGTGCTCCTATCTGTAACAGGTACAGTACAACTATACAAGAGAAGCTATTCAGGTTAGGGATACCTTGAGCTTTAATATTACTTCATTTTATACTGTTTTTCTTTTGTTTGGATCAGGTACTGAAGCTATGTTTGCAAATCTTGGCCATTTCAATTCTTTCTCAATGAGGGTAAGTACAAGTACGTTTTTCCATCACTATGAAAGTATGAGTCGCATCTTGTGGGAAAACTATTCTTCTATATGCTGCAATGGACCTAGCATATAATGCCTCTCATGATAATTTTTTAGAGTTGGGGTTTAAGATTGTTGGGCACCAAAGTGGTATTAATGTTCTGATTCTTCTGCTCATGTTGAAATCCAAGAGAGAAAGTTACTTAGAAATTGCTTTCAGGGAAAACACATTTTTATTGTTTATTTGAGAAAGGGTGAAAATAAAAAGTTTGGTAGGAAAACAAAATATTACTCTGTAATATTTAAATTTTAATGTTTTCTAAATATAAAGAGTTTCTTGTGTAGCATGAAGTGTTGTTAGTTGAAGCATCAAGTCCAATAACTAATGTATGATAGAAAGCGGTGAGACACAAATCTGGTGAAGATTCATTGCCTATGAATTGAAATGTTTTCCTCCAAAAATAGAGTCATTTCTGTAACATCGAAATCAATATTGCAGACATGAGTTCTTTATTTTCGGACTTAGATAGTACTTCTGAGGCTCTTGTAATAGATCCTATCAAGATAGTTAAGTTGTCAATCCATCCTATCTAATGATACTCAAAGTCTTTTGGACCATTAGATGTCAACTCATGTGAATTTTGACGTACTGGTGGGCAGGGGCGGAGCCAGGACACTGGGCCGGTACAAAGAATATTTTTGAAAAAAAATTTACACGGAATTTTTTACACTAAAAATATAGAGATTTTTAAAATTTGGGCTGGGCCAGGGCCAGGGGTGGCCACCCCCTAGCTCCGCCCCTGCTGGTGGGTGATGGGCTGATGGCTTTCAGCCACCTACCAAGCCGTTCAATTCGCTATTTCTCAATATACTATCATTTCAATCAGTTTCCTAGTTTGGATACCCAATTTCCCATGCATTCAAGTTTATTGATTTGGGTTCCAGTAACGCTCTTTTACTGATTGATCTATTTTTTCCTTTCGTTTCATTCAGTTTGCATTTGTACTTGGCGTGTATCCTTGTTTAGTGGTACAATACATGGGGCAGGCTGCTTTTCTGTCGAAAAACATTGCTTCAGTACCAAATAGTTTTTACGATTCAGTTCCTGGTTAGTATTTTACTTGAGATTCAATGCAACTCTATCATAGTCCTAGTGTAATCTAGTTCGCTTCTTACCACTTGCTCTCTTCGTTACCCTTGCAGATGGTGCACACTGGCCAGTTTTTGTTATTGCCACCCTTGCAGCTATTGTTGCCAGTCAGTCAATTATCACTGCTACGTTCTCTATCATCAAGCAATGTAATGCACTTGGATGCTTCCCAAGAGTCAAGATTGTTCACACGTCAAAGCATATCTACGGCCAGATTTATATACCTGAAATGAATTGGATATTAATGATTCTCACTCTGTTAGTGGCCATTGGTTTCCAGGATGTAACTTTAATTGGAAATGCATATGGTACGTGACTTTCATTTCATTCAAGTATTCAACACACTGCTATTCTTCATGCCCTTTTGCAGGGCTACCAATCAATATTTCCTGAATTCACCTCTACTAAATTTATATGGCCACTTTCACTCAATAATTTATTTTAGAAAATATGTCAATAAAAAAAGGGTGTGCCATTATATAATTCCAAGGTTTTTTTGTCTTTTCCTTCTTCCATTGTTGGCAACAAATATATTTTCAAAGATCTTCCAGAAGTTTCTCAGAAGTCGAGTGGACAACACTTTACACCTATATTAGTTTGCAAGGGCCACTTAAATATGTTTTTTACTGAAAGTAGAACAGAGTAATTTCATTAACCATGTGTACTGTCACGGCTTGTTCCCATGAAAAAGTTATGACAGCAAGTATACAACCATGCGGTGCAGTCATAGTTTTAGTTTAGCTAGCTTTTCTGTTATTTGTCATTCAAATTTTAGTGCTGATATCATGGGATATGTTTAATTTTTATTCAGGACTAGCATGCATGACAGTTATGTTCATCACGACGTTTCTGATGTCACTCATCATCGTGTTTGTCTGGGGAAGAAACCCCATATATGCCGCTGCCTTCCTCTTCTTCTTTTGTTTCATTGAACTCATCTACCTTTCAGCATCAGTCATTAAAATCCCTCAGGGTGGGTGGGTATCTCTTGTCCTCTCCCTAGTGTTCCTTTTCGTCATGTTCGTCTGGCACTATGGGACCCGCAAGAAGTACACATTCGATCTCCACAACAAAGTCCCACTGAAATGGCTACTCGGCCTAGGACCCACACTTGGCATCGTCCGTGTCCCAGGGATCGGCCTTGTTTACTCAGAACTAGCAACAGGAGTCCCCTCCATATTCTCCCACTTCGTGACTAACCTTCCTGCCTTTCACAGTGTACTCGTTTTTGTGTGTGTAAAGTATGTCCCCGTCCCTTACGTTTCACCTGAGGAACGGTTCCTTATTGGACGGGTCTGCCCGAGACCATACCGTATGTACCGGTGCATCATTAGGTACGGGTACAAGGACACACAGAGAAACGATGGAGACTTTGAGAATCAGCTTATACACAGCATAGCAGCTTTCATTCAGATGGAGTCCATCGAACCTCAGGTATCAAACTCTGAGAGTTCTTCTTTTGATGGGAGGATGGCAGTTATAAGCAGCACTCAGTCTGGCGGCTCTGCTTTGATGGTTGTACGTGATGACAAAGAAAATTTGCAATGCAGCAGCAGCAGCAAATCAGCAACCCTTCAGAGCCTGAGGTCTGCTTATGATGACGAGAACTTGCTAGTTAGAAGACGGCGGGTGAGGTTTGAGTTGGTTGAGGGGCCCACAATGGATGTGGCAGTTAAAGAGGAGCTTAGGGAGTTGATTAGGGCAAAGGAAGCAGGGGTGGCGTACATATTGGGACACTCTTACGTGAAAGCGAGGAGGTCATCACCGTTTTTGAAGAAGTATGTGATTGATATTGCGTATTCATTTCTGAGAAAGAATTGCAGGGGGCCGTCAGTGGCACTTAATATTCCGCACATTAGTCAAATTGAAGTTGGGATGATTTATTATGTGTAACCAGATGAGAATGCATGCCTTCTCAGGTGCATTTCTTTGTCTGCCACACACTACTCATGAAAGATTGTTGTGCATGTATTATTTGCTTTGCAGCCATCCATCCTTCCCTTAGTTGATTAGACTTGTGTGAGCTTTCATTCCGCACTTCTTTTGTGTATAGGGATACTTTTATCTGCAGCTTCAGTGACTGTAAGTCACTTGATAAGTTTCAATACCAAACAAGCTTCTCTTTTTGTATGAAGTAAATAAAATGTCATTATCCTTGGTTCTTTATTTGTATTGCACTTCAAGGGCTTTGAATTTGTTTCTGGTTGTGATGCATCATTGCATCATGCAAGGAAGCTGTTATAAAAAATTCCAAGAAACATTGAAAAATCTCAGACTAGCTGTTTTCCATTAGTTAATGTTTCGTACTTTTGTTGTTTCTCGTGAACCACTTTCAAGGGAAAATAGAGTGCGCAAATACTTTTGATACAACACGCGTAGTGCATGTGTAGTGTGTCATGGCTTTTGTTTGGTTGCTCGAAGGAGTGAATGACAATGCCACCTTTTTATTGTGGAAAAGGATGATATTTTCATGTCACGTTTTTTGTTTCTTGCTTTTGTAATGGTTAGTTTCCTGTCGATGTGACTTCAAATTCCAGAAAATGGCACAGGTATGTATAAACTATAAAGTGATTGTTTAAGCCTTTGTTTGAGCACTGTTTGGTTTAACAATGAATAAATAAATTCCACTGAATCCAACCCTACAAAAGGAAACCTGTAATGCACCAATCAGAAAAACAACTGTATTGTAACTTATTTGTATTATTATACAATTTATTGCACAATATCAAAAGTTGTGTTTTGTAAAAAATGGTTGGTAAGCTAATAAGGGGTTACCACATCCTCATAACAATGCCCTTCCATTATTCCATGAAATCGAGATTTGACTTGGCAGTTGGTACAACATAAATTACATTTTTGAAGTAGCTATCAAATGTAAAGGTGGAAATGTTGTCACTGCATAAGTCATGGTATGCTGCCGAACACCCCTCATTTGAGAGAGAACTCCTATTGTAAATTGTTGAGGTGATGCTCAAACAGAGATGCCATCTCAATCTGAAACAATTAGAACACCAACCCAATTTTAGATGACTTTCTGAGAAGTGAATAGTAAAACCTGAGAAATACAGGGGAAAAACTATTTTGAAAGCAGTTTTGCTACTTTTCTATATAAAAAAATTGAAAGAAAAAACAAACAAACAAACAAACTCACCGCTGTCAACGCTGCTTCAGCGCCTTTATTGCCAGACTTGCCTCCAGCACGATTCAACGCCTGCACTCAATAACAAACAAGGGTAGGCTGTGTGGGGTGCTCATAAAGTATGATCTAGGTATGCTAGTTATATACATGTCGTGATACAAAATAAAACTCAATCAATGCATTTACCTGTTCCATATTTTCACATGTCAAGACACCAAATATGCAAGGAACACCTGCATATTATTATAAAATTATTATGATTACATTAGTACATTTCATGACTAATATATTAATCAAGGGCACAATCTTTCAACTCATTGCATGGACAAATTAAACAAATAATATTTGCATGGAAAATCAGAGCACAAAAATCAAATATGTGTAGAGTCATCGTATACTACACATATCTTTCAATTTTGAGAGTTTAATGGATGAAGGAGAGGAACACACAAAGCAGATTGATTAAAGATTAAAAGACATGTTTTCAAATCTCAAACAGATGCAAAAGCACACCACACTTTAACAAAATTCAGGCAATATTCAAGAATCAATAGCAAAAAGATCCAAAACATTGCATGCATACCCACCTGAACTGAGACCTGCTGAAAGTACTCCCGATGCTGCTGAATTAGAAACGGCATCATAATGAGTAGTATCACCTCTAACCTGCAAACCAGAAGATTCAAACATGCGAAAGGAGCACATAAGTAACAAACAAATAAGGAGCACACAACATCAGGGGTGTAGCTATGGTGGCTAACTCAGGCACCAGGGCACAGACCCACCCTGAGTTGGGGGCTTGGTGAAAACCTGCCTTTTGATGTGTAAATTTCTTGGTCAAAAATTAAATGAATGGCTTATTTTTTTGGCCCATCCCATGGAATCCAGAGTATCCCGCGGCACAACATGACTGTTAGCTACAGAGGAATATGTTCTGAAACAGAAAAAAAACAATCGTGATGAAGGAGAGCTGCTTACCACAGCACCTATGCACAAGATTGCGTGATACTTTCTTGACTTTCCCAGCTTCTCTGCAACCACACCTATTTCAAAACTACCTGGAACCCATACAACCTGCATCAACACATCAATTGCCACATGTATAAATATTTCTTTCTTCTAAGCAATCACATCACATGATCCAAAGAGTTGTCAAGACATTGAGATCAAATGAAATGTTTTGATAGTGAAAACAGATTATGGATAAAATAATGTCTAGCCGCATGGGGAATGAAGTTGCATATAATTCGAATTCACTCAATTTGAGGCACAGCATTAGGCAATACAAAATTCAAATTAACAGCCTAATTATTTGATACTCAAGCAGTTCAATAATGCTTATTAAATTCCATGATATGAGGATAACAGGAACAAGTACATACATCAACATCTTCTTCTCTGACAGAGTATTTCTTGAAAGTTTCCAAAGCCCCCTCCAAAAGTGGCCTCGTTATAATTTCGTTGAAACGAGCCACCACCTTCATTTGGTAAGGTTCCAACACATACATGTCAAAAGAGAAGCTAAATGAGCCCCATCACTCACCTTAACAATACTCCTTGATTAACAATAGAAGGATATAATGAGTTCTTCGCATTAGGAGAAAGCTAAAGTTTAGGTATACACCATCCATTTTGCATTGTAAAGAATCTACATTTTAATGGCTGGAAATATGAAACTGACCCTTACCAATGCAATTTTCAATCCTTTGTGGGAGAAAAACTTACAATTAAGATTATGTGGTTTAAACGGGTTTCTTTCATTTCATACCCATTTTCCATGGATACTTAAAAACCATTGATGAAAATCATAAAACCACTCGGTGACAGAGAGAGGGAATCAAACGAGTGAAATTCAGAGACTACGGACAATAGCAAATCGGAGGCCCTCTGCAACGGTGAGAGAACCAGTCAACTGACGGACGGCCGAGTTCCGCTTAAAACCTGACCTGTTTGGATTCCTCTCGACAGCGAAACCAAGTCCTGAATGAATTTGGCATATTACCCCACTAAATTCGAATCGTGATAAAAGTAATCTTGAAAAAGGAAAATTTGAGGCAATGCTGAACGGATAATACAGACCTCGAAGTTGGGCGAACGATACAGAAGCAGCAGGTACTTTACTTGTCTGATGAGGTGAGCACGTGATTGTGCTACGTGAGAAAGAGAAAAGCCGAGATTTCTCGGCGAAAGCACGGCATACAGGAAAACGGCAATCAGCAAATGCAGCAGCAGCCGCCATGGTTATAGGCTTATAGCTCTCACTTTGTAAATTTCCGCCGAGTCAACGATGGCGATTATTTATCATCTCACTTTCTTACCGGGTGTTATACATATCGGTTAAGATGAATTTAGAAGCTGTTCCGTTCACCTGATCTGAATGTTTCTGATCTGAATTTTTTAAGTTCTGATCTGATCTGATCTGAATTTTTCTGATCTGATCTGATCTGATCTGAATCTTTCTGATCTGATCTGATCTGATCTGAATCTTTCTGATCTGATCTGAATCTTTCTGATCTGATCTGAATGTTGCTGAACTGATCTGAATGTTGCTGATCTGATCTGATCTGATCTGAATGTTTCTGATCTGATCTGAATGTTTCTGATCTGATCTGAATTCTTCTGATCTGAATCTTTCTGATCTGATTTGAATATTTCTATAATTGTAATTGTAATTACAATTATAATTATTAGATTTATAATTGTAATTAAAAATATAACTTAAATAAAATTACAATTATAATCATAATTATAAAAAAATAATAATTAAAATTAAATTTAAAATTATAATAATTATACCAATTACACTAATTATAAATACAGATACAATTATAAATGTAATTATATTTTTAATTATGATTAATTTTATAATTATTATTATTGTAATTATAATTATAATATTTATTTCTATAGTCATAATTATGTCTATAATTACTAATTTAAATATATAATTACTCCGAAGTAATAATAATTACAACAATAACAACAAGAACAACAATCATATTAATAATAATGATGATTATAATTATAATTACATTGTAAATCATAATTATAATTATAATTGTAAATATATTATATTATATTATATTATATTATATTATATTATATTATATTATATTATATTATATTATATTATATTATATTATATTATATTATATTATATTATATTATATTATATTATATTATATTATATTATATTATATTATATTATATTATATTATATTATATTATATTATATTATATTATATTATATTATATTATATTATATTATATTATATTATATTATATTATATTATATTATATTATATTATATTATATTATAATATATTATATTATATTATATTATATTGTATTATATTGTATTGTATTGTATTGTATTGTATTGTATTATATTATATTATATTATATTATATTATATTATATTATATTATATTATATTATATTATATTATATTATATTATATTATATTATATTATATTATATTATATTATATTATATTATATTATATTATATTATATTATATTATATTATATTATATTATATTATATTATATTATATTATATTATATTATATTATATTATATTATATTATATTATATTATATTATATTATATTATATTATATTATATTATATTATATTATATTATATTATATTATATTATATTATATTATTATAATATAATAATAATTTTATATTATTAGCATTATTATTATATTATTATTAATAATATTATTATATTAATATATTAATATTATTAACAATAACTACAATACAATAATCATAATTAATATAATAATAAAAGTGATAAATCATGTTTGATTTTTTTGACCTGATCTGATCTGAATGTTTCTGATCTGATCTGAATGTTTCTGATCTGGTCTGATCTGGTCTGAATCTTTCTGATCTGATCTGAATGTTGCTGATCTGATCTGAATCTTTCTGATCTGATCTGAATGTTTCTGATCTGATCTGATCTGATCTGAATCTTTCTGATCTGATCTGATCTGATCTGAATCTTTCTGATCTGATCTGATCTGATCTGAATAAAATAAGATTAAGGAATAAGTAATAAGATTAAGACGAACGGAACAGCTTCTTAGTCGATTTAGGAGCTACTACTCACTTTGACCAATAGAAATGTTTTTAATATGAATTTTTTAAGTTGTGATTTGATATTGCTAAAAAAAAAAGTTGTGATTTGATATGATTTTTTTTATACTCGGTATGTGAATCTTTATGATCTGATATAATTTTTTTTTAATATTGTCTGATCTGATCTGAATCAATGTTCTAAAAGGCGCTAGACGCTAGTTGGATGCTAGGTTGCCTAGTCGGGGACTAGTCGGAGATATAGAAATTGCGTTTTTATCTATATTTTTTCATAAATATGATAAGTAATATTGTATTTTTTTGTGTATAAAATACATATACATATACATTAAAAAACATGAAAGATAGAATTCTCACATTTAATCATACGCATTATATGATAACTAATCACTTAACTTCATTAAGACATAAATATAATTAATGATAAAATTTAGGTATATATACAATCATATATAGTTTTGTCTAAATTTAAAACTTCATTTCTATATATGAATGACTAAAGTTAAAGTACGTATATCGCTTATAAATATAATTTGAATGTAATTATAATTATAATCATAATTATTAAAAAGTTTATAATTATAATAAGAAAAAATTACACAAATATTATTACTTTAAATCTTGCTAACAAAAATATGACTATTGAACAAAATGGCAATGTGATTTTCCTACAATTACTCCAAGGCTGTTGTACGTGGTTGGTAGTTGTAGTCACTTTTTTATAAACCCAAACATTATCGGTAATATTTACATAAAAAACTCGAGTCTTCTCCTACTCATGTGATATCCAATTCAAGAACAACTCGCGTAAGAGTATTATTTTTTCACTCATTCATTCAACTCATCTTTTAAAATATGGACACCTATAGTTGGTCCTTTATTTTGGGCTAAAACTAACAACAAAGTGTTACTAGCAAAGTTGAAAAAGGAGCATGTGATATATGGAAAAGAATAATTAATGTAATGGCTTTATTTATGTATCAATTGTTGTTAAAGATTCAATTTATGGAAAAACTTACCGAATATTAGTGTAGTTATTGTAAGCTTCTTCTAACACTATGATACCTTTTGTGTATTGTATATGTTCAAATATCTTAAGTTTTGGAACATTCTAGTATTCTACTGCTTTCTTGCTTAGATTTTTGTGGGATTATAAGGGTTTTGTAATGTATATTAATTTGTAAGGATCATTGAGTTTGTTTGGTGTTTTAATTGTGTATGAAACTCAGAGTATGAATCTTTTGTTTGATTCATTTTGTCATTTCCATTGCTGTTTATTCTCTTACAAATATTGAACTTGAAAAGTTTTCTCCAAATGCTTTAAGATGAAATTTGAAATTTTGAATCATGCTTCTTCTTTGTGATTTTCCTCTTTTATTATATATGACCAACCTATTCGTGATCAACGAAATTCTAGCTAAAATAGACTGTTTATGTGTTTGCACACCTCTTTGTTGCGGAGATAACTATGGAGACAACATATCCAACTTCTTATGCTCATGATGATAATGATCATGATAAACATAAAAAACTTCATCATTTAATACTTCATTAAGTATCACAATAATTAAACAACTTTGTTGATAACAAGAATAAACCCTCATAGTAACATACTCCTTATGCGAAGAACTCATTATATAAAGGGGTACATCGTATTAGGTATACCTAATACGAACAAACATTTAGAAGTTGTCCCTCGGAGGAAAGCTAAAGTTTAGGTATACTCTGAACAAACATTTTTTCTAGATGAAATTGACGCTCAAATGATGCCCTAGAGTTTGATATAAAGGGGTGAGCTTGATTCTGAGTTGGACTAACCTTTTATCGACGACTATTAAGTGCACCTCCAATATTTAAATGTGTTCAGTGCACATGTGGCATTCATATAAATATTAATGAATAATATATCTATCTCCTTATTTGAGAGGTCATATTCATTTTTGATAAGTTTTTCTTCACAATTTTAAGTCAGATGTTCATATGTAGACGTTGTTGGTTGACATTATTGTGAAAAAGATATCAAAATTATACAAAATCGTGGAAAGAAAAGAAAGAAATGTGAATGTTTTTGTGTCTTCTCCCTCATTCCATGCTTGCAACATGCACACTTGCACATTATTTGCATCCTAGGATTCCCAGATGCTCCTATTATCATGCATTTTTTTATGTATAAATTCAAATTCCTAGGGAGTTAACACTAAATTCAAATTCTCAAGTCTACTGTGTAGTGTGTACAACTTAGAAGCTATTCTCTTCACCTGATCTAAATGTTTCTGATCTGAATTTTTCAAGTTCTGATCTGATCTGGTCTGATCTGATATGAATCTTTCTGATCTGATCTGAATCTTTCTGATCTGATCTGATTTGAATATTTCTATAATTATAATTATGATTATAATTATTATAAATATAATTATTATAATTATAATTATAATCCTAACTATAAAAAATTATATTCACAATTGTAATAATAATTGTAATTGAAATTAAAATTATTATTAAAATTATATTTATCATCATACAATTATTATTAAAATTATAATCATAATATTTTATAATTATATTATTATTAAAATTAATATAATAAAAAATTATATTTATAATTTTAATAATAATTGTAATTGAAATTGAAATTATTATAATTGTAATAATAATAATTGTAATTATTATATTTATAATCACTAATTATAAGTATAGCTATATTACTAATTGTAATCATATTTTTTATTATAATTATTTCTATAATTATAATTGTAATTGTAATAATAAAATTTATTTCCCTAATTATATTTATAATTATAATTATTATTACTTCATATAATAATAATAATGAAATATAATAGAAATATTAATATTAATAATAATAATAGTTATTATTATTATATAATAATAACAATAATAATTATTATTATAATGGAAATTATAATTATAATAAATAAATAATCAAAGTAATAATCATATTATTATTATTGTTATTATTATTATTTTCATTATTATTATTATTATTATAAAAGTGATAAATCATGTTTGAATTTTTCTGATCTGATCTGAATGTTTCTAATCTGATCTGAATCTTTCTGATCTAATCTGATCTGAATGTTTCTAATCTGATTTGATCTAAATGTTACTGATCTGGTCTGATCTGATCTAAATCTTTCTGATCTGACCTAAATGTTTTTTATCTGATCTGAATTTTTCTAATCTAATCTGATCTGAATAAATAAGAAGAAGGATAAGTAATACTCCGTACTACGTAAGAA